AAATTAATTTAAGAATGTTTAAAGATCTCTTCCAGACACAGGTTCCCCTACGACTACCTTGTTACGACTTCATCAAAGTTACTAATCACTTTTTAGGGATTTTAATAAAGTTTATAAAATTATAAATTATTTTATTTAAATAATTATTTAATTTTATAAAATAATTAAAAATCATTTTAAAAATAATCAACTTCCCTGATGTGACGGGCAGTGTGTACAAAGTCCAGTAACATATTCACCGCAACATGCTGTTTTGCGATTACTAGCGATTCCAACTTCATAAGGGCGAGTTTCAGCCCTTAATCCGAACTAAGATAATTTTTAAAGATTTGCTCCAACTTTTATCATTATTGCCTCTGATTGTGATTATCATTGTAGCACGTGTGTAGCCCAACTCATAAGGGCCATGAAGACTTGACGTCATCCCCACCTTCCATTAACCTATCATTAATTTTTTTGTTAGAGTACTTTTATTTTATTTTAATAAATTAGCAACTAACAATAGGGGTTGCGCTCGTTAAAGGATTTAACCAAACATTTCACAACACGAGCTGACGACAGCCATGCAACGCCTGTTTTTTATATAAACTTTTATATAAAAATTAGCAAGAGTTGGTAAGGTTCTGCGCGTATTATCGAATTAAACCACATGCTCCACCGCTTGTGTAGACTCCCGTCAATTCCTTTGAATTTCAATCTTGCGATTATACTTTTCAGGCGGAGTGCTTAACGCGTTAGCTGTTATATCTAAATATTCTAAATATTAGCACTCATCGTTTACAGCATGGACTACCGGGGTCTCTAATCCCGTTCGCTACCCAAGCTTTCGTTTCTCAGTGTCAGTATATACCCAGATAATTGCCTTCGCCATAGGTCTTCCTTCTATTATCAACGTATTTTATCACTCCAATAGAAATTCCATTATCCTCTATTTATACTCCAGTTTATCAGTTTTGAAAAAATGTATAAAGTTGAGCTTTAATTTGTTTCTTTCAACTTAAAAAACCACCTACAAACTCTTTACGCCTAATCATTCCGAATAATGCTCGCTCCTCCCGTATTACCGCGGCTGCTGGCACGGGTATTAGCCGGAACTTCTTTTTTAAGTACTGTCATTTTCCTCCTTAATGAAAGAGCTTTACAACCTAATTAGCCTTCATCACTCACTCGGTATTGCTGGATCAAGCTTCCGCTCATTGTCCAAAATTCCCCACTGCTGCCTTTAAAAAAGTTTGGGCCGTGTCTCAGTCCCAATGTGGCTGATCATTCTTTCAAACCAGCTAAAGATAATAGGCTTGGTAGTCTATTAAACTACCAACTACCATAATCTTGCGCAAACTCATCTTTTAACGTTAAAAACTTTAATTTATTTATCCAGTATTTTTATAAAATAATTATTCTGAATTAAAAGGTAGATAATTCACGTGTTACTCACCCGTTCGCCATGTTTTTAAAACATTCGACTTGCATGTGTTAAGCATACCGATAGCATTTATTCTGAGCCAGGATCAAACTCTATTTAGATTTTGTATTAATTATTTAATATAAATTTTTAAAATAACATAAATTTAAAAATTTTATAAATAACATTCTTATATCAATTTTTGTCTTATATTGTCTTAAAGGATAGAATTTCTCTATTTTTTATAAATATAATATAAAAATTATTTATTTTATTTGTAAATAAGATTTAAGCAAAATTAAAAAAAGAGCTCGTAAAATTGTATATAGTTAATGTCATACCGCTTTATTTTGAACTAGTTACACCAGGTATATTAATTTAACTTACAGCATTTTAATATTTTTATAGCTTATAGCTTCGTAAACTATGTTATTTGATTGTTATCAAGTTATTGTAGCTTGATTTATATTATAAATTTTATTTTAATCTATAAGTGTATCAGGTAGTTTTCAAAAACACCCTAATTTACCTATAAGTTTTTTTCTTAATTATGATAGGAATTAAAAAAGATTTCGCCAGTAGACCTATAAAATCTAAGCATCGCCTGAATATGTAGCTTCTGATATATTTAGAATATTTACTGAAGCAGTAAGTAAGGTATCAAAGAAAAAATTATAAAAAAGTTAAGTAATTTAATTTAAGACTATTAAAAGCACTTAATGCGGTTAAATATAAATTATCCATATCTGTTAAACATAAAGATTGAAAATTGTTTAGCATAATTATAACAACTTCTTATAATTTTCAGATCATAATATATAATTCCCCTTAAAAGACTTTAATAGGTAGAAATTTTTAAAATTAGTACTTAGAGTAATAATACAAAAAATAAAAAAATTTTAAAAATGTAATATAGGATATTCAAAATTTTAATTGATTATCTTATATAAGATTAGAAAATTTAATCTTTTAATAAACAAAATTTAGTTTGATTTTTATATATTAAAAAAAATAGAAAAATAGATATAAATATTTATATATCTTTTAAGGAAAATTAATAAAAATTTATGAAAAAAATTTATCAAATAATAATTTTAATATGTTTAAGTACATTTTGCAATTCTATTAGTTTAGAAACTGCTTTTTGTGAAAATACATGTGAAAATACTGAAAATCCTCGTAATGAATCTAAAAATAGTAATACTAATAAAATTCTAATAATAAGTTTTATAATATTATTTATTATATATATATTTTTTTTAAATAATGAAACTCTAAATTATAATATTGAGGAATTATATAAAATTGCTGTAGAAATTTCAAATAATTCTACGGTTCGTGGTTGGGAGTTAATACATAAAGTGTTAAAAGATTTAGATCCAACCGCAACAAATAATGAAAATATACATCAATTATTAAAATTTTTAAATCCAACATCAATAAATAAAAACGAATTAATTCAAATTTTAGAAAATCTAATTAAATTAGATAAAGAAACTCCAAATATTTTTTCCGTTAATTCAATATTTTTCGGGAAAAGTATAAAAAAATTAATAGAATTTATTAAAAATATTTAAATATAAAAAACTAAAACAATTTTTAAATTAAAGAGATAACATTTTAATTTTATGTTATAAGACGCTTTTTATAAGGTTATTATTAAGTTCATTAAAAACATTTTTAAATATCTCAAAACGTTCAACCATATTTGCATTCTTAAAAATTGACTCATATTCTTATTTTATATAATAAATAATTATGTTGTATTAAATATTTCATTTATTGTGAAATGTAATTGAAAAATAAGAATTATTTAATAGTTATTATAAAATAAGTATTTTCTGGAGTTAATATTTAAAAACTTATAATTAATATTTTTTTTAACTCTTTTATAATTTATAGATATTAAAAGCTTTTATTATAATTATAATTTGTTTATTAATATAATACTAATTTTCCGTAAAAACCCTATAATTTATAATAATTCATTATTTGAATGAAAATTAATCTTATTTTCGATTAATTTTTGGAGAAAGTAGGATTTGAACCTACGTAGAAATTATTTCAACAAATTTACAGTCTGCCGCTTTTAACCACTCAGCCATTTCTCCTATATTTGTTATGTGATTAGTGGGACTTGAACCCACAATCTTTACTTGGAAGGTAAAAGATTTACCAATTAATCTATAATCACGAATAAATGTCAATTCTATTATTATTCCCGATTATTTTAATACATGGAAATACCAAATACTGCCTTTGGGTACATTTATTAGATTTAAATAATAAGCAAAAAAAGGGACTCGAACCCTCAACATTAACCTTGGCAAGGTTATACTCTACCATTGAGCTATTTTTGCTAATGAATTATTTTTTTAATAAAAAAATTGAATTTAATAATAAAAACAATTCATTATTATTTTTTGCATTTGTATGTATTGATATATCAATTGGTGGTATATTTTTAAATTTTAAAAATTCAGTTTTTAATTCAAAAAAATGTAAAATATTTTTAATTTGAAAATTAAAAATATTTTTATTTTTAAGATTCATTTGTATTTCAGTTAGATTTGGAATAATAAAAATTAAAATTTTATCTAAAAAATTAAAAATATTTTTTTTTCTTAACGTAACTTTACAGCCTATAATGGAATTTTTTTTGATTTTTAAAAAAATATTATTTTTTTTTGATTTTGTTATTTTAGGTTTTTGATTTGTTATTAATTTTAAAAGTAAAATTATATTAATTAATTTTTTTTTTTCAATATTTGCATCTTTAAAACCTATATTTAAACAAATTTTAGTGATTTTAGTGATTTCAAATATATTTTTAAAATTTAATTTTGTTAAAAGATTATATATCGTAATATTTTGATAATGATTTTGTAAATTTTTTTCCATAGATTTTTATAAAATATTTGAAGCTAATGACAAGATTTTAAAATTTTTTTGTTTTCTAAATTCAGATGTAATAGGACCAAATATACGTGTACCTAAAGGTTTATTTTGAGTATTTAAAACAATTATACAATTTTTATCAAATTTTACAATATTACCTATTGTACTTTTTTTTTGATATGTTGTATGAATAATTAAAGCTTTAAATAAATCACCCTTAATTATTTTAATTTTTTTTTTTTGATTTAAACGTAATTTTTTTGCAGAAATTAAAATTGTATCACCAATTTTTCCAACTTTTTTTTTATAAATTTTTATACATTGTCCTATTTTAATACCACTATTATCGTTTATTTTTAATTTTGTTTGAATTTGAATCATAGATTATCTTATAATTAAATTGATGAGAGTAGGACTTGAACCTACATCTTCAGATTATGAGCCTGATAAGTTAACCTATTACTCTATCTCATCTTATTACCTATTTTCGGAAGAAAAGGATTTGAACCTTTGATCTTCTGTTCCCAAAACAGATGCATTAGCCAGACTATGCTACCTTCCGTTTAAAATAATATTAGTAATTGTGTGTTTATCAATATAATAATGATGGTAGGATTTGAACCTACAACATTAGGATTATGATTCCCACGCTCTACCATTAAACTACATCATCTTATTAATGATAAATTATTAATAAAATAAGTCGAAGTGGGATTTGAACCCACGAGTTAATAAATAACTGATAGTTTAGCAAACTACTGCCTTAAACCTGACTTGGCTATTCGACCTAAAATATAAAACTTCTTTGATAGGATTTGAACCTACAACCTAATGGTTAACAGCCATTTGCTCTACCGTTGAGCTACAAAGAAATAATTATATTTTAATTTTTAAAACTTTTAGTATTTTTAAGCTAAATATTTTACAATACTTACACTTTAAACCTATCAATGTAATCGTCTTTTACAGTTTTTATATGAAAAATTTTTAAGAATGGTTTCTTACTTAGATGCTTTCAGTAATTATCCAAAATAAATTTAGCTACTCGGCGATGCCTTTCAACAACCGATACACCAGAGATTTACCCTTCTCGGTCCTCTCGTACTAGAGTTAGATTCTTTCATTTTTCAAAATATCTATAGAAGATAGGAACCAAACTGTCTCACGACGTTCTAAACCCAACTCACGTACCACTTTAATCGGCGAACAGCCGAACCCTTGGAACCTTCTTCAGCTCCAGGATGTGATGAGTCGACATCGAGGTGCCAAACGACTCCGTCGATAGGAGCTCTTAGGAGTCATCAGCCTGTTATCCCCGGAGTACCTTTTATCCGTTGAGCGATAATCTTTCCACAAAGAATTATCGGATCACTATGACCGACTTTCGTCCCTGTTTGATATGTCTATCTTACAGTCAAGCAAGCTTTTACCATTATGCTCTACAATTGATACTATTATCCAATTTGAGCTTACCTTTGTACACCTCCGTTACTCTTTAGGAGGTGACCGCCCCAGTCAAACTACCAACCATACACTGTCTATTTAAAGAAATATTAGTTATTTATTTTAATAAGAGTGGTATTTCAAAGATATCTAAACAATTTACTAGCGTAAAGATCTAAAGGATTACCACTTATTCTACACATATTAGATAAAATAACAATATAAAGATGTAGTAAAGGTTCACGGGGTCTTTCCGTCTAACTATAGAAAATCCGCATCTTCACGGATAATTCAAATTCACTGAGTCTATATTGGAGACAGCGGGGATGTCGTTACACCATTCATGCAGGTCGGAACTTACCCGACAAGGAATTTCGCTACCTTAGGACCGTCAGAGTTACGGCCGCCGTTTACTGGGACTTCCATTTAATGCGCAAACATTTCCTTTTAATCTTCCAGCACCGGGCAGGTGTCAGACCCTATACATCATGTTACCATTTAGCAGAGTCCTAAGTTTTTATTAAACAGTCGCAACCCCCTATTTTGTGACACCTAATTATATTTTTAAAAAATAAATATAATTAGGTACTTTTTATCCCGAAGTTACAAAGTCATTTTGCCGAGTTCCTTCAATATAGTTCTCTCATTCACCTTAGTCTACTCGACCTATCCACCTGTGTCGGTTTAGGGTACGGTTTTTTTAATTAAAAAGCTATTTCCTGAAAAATTAAAAATTTTTGTCACTTTATAAAAAAAATTTAATTTAAAAATTATCCCATCAAAATTTGCTTTCGTCAAATCTTTCTTAGGGACCGTTTCACTCTATGCAATACATTTTAACATAGAAACCCTTGGATTTACGGTGATAACGATTCATATTCGTTATTTTTTGTTACTAATGCCAGCATTTTCTTTTCTGATATCTTCAACATATTTCACAATATATCTTTATTAACATACAGAATGTTCCGCTACCGTTTTATTTTTAATAAAACTTGCCGCTTCGGTAAATTTCTTAAGTCTCGATACATTTTAGGCGCAAAAAAACTAGACCAATGAGCTATTACGCTTTCTTTAAAGGATGGCTGCTTCCAAGCCTACCTACTGGTTGTAATTATTTTTTCACTTCCTTTTTCACTTAGAATATTATTTAGAGACCTTAGCGATCAATCAGGGCTGTTTCCCTTTTGACAATAGACCTTAGCGCCTAATGTCTGTCTATTTAAATCACGTTTTTTTGTATTCGGAGTTTCCAAGAATTTAGTAAGTTTTTACACCCCCTAGCTCAATGAGTGCTCTACCCCAAAAAAAGATTTTAAATGCTCTACTTCAATAGATTTCGCGGAAAACCAGCTATCTCTGAGTTTGATTAGCCTTTCACTCCTAACCACAAATCATCTCCATATTTTGCCACATATGTGAGTTCGATCCTCCAAATAGTTTTACCTATTTTTCAATCTGTTCATGGTTAGATCACTCAGTTTCGGGTCTTATTTGTATAACTAAAAAGCTTTTTAAAACTTGATTTATCTACGCCTACTTTATTAAATTAAGCTTGCTATAAAAATAAACTTGCTGGCCCATTATGCAAAAGGTACACTGTCACTTTTTAAAAAAGTTCCAATTGATTATTAACATTAAGTTTCAGAATTATTTCAAACTCAAAAGTTCTTTTTCACCTTTCCTTTACAGTACTTGTTCACTATCGATCATTAATTTTTAAAAGGTTTTGAGGGTGGTTCCCCAATATTCAAAAAAGATTACACATACCTCTTTTTACTATAATAAAAATAATAAATATTTTACAGGACTTTCACCTTTTTAAGTAAATTTTTCAAAATTTTTCAAATAATTTTTTTTTATTTTTATAAACCTAATTTCCATTTTCACTCGTCATTACTAACGGAATCTCGTTTGATTTTTTTAACAGTTACTTAGATATTTCAATTCACTGTTTTTAAAATTTTCACAAAGAAAAAGTTTTCTCTAGGAAATCTATATTTCAAAATAAAATATAATTTAATATAGCTTTTCGCATTTTTTACGTCCTAAAAATTAAATTAATGCCAAGGCATCCACTTAATGCTTTTATTATTAGTACTTAAACCATTTAAATGGTTTAAATTTTTATTTTTTTTTTAAATATTCATTAATTAATTTTAAATTTAAATAAAAAGGATATAAAATAGTTTTAAATGTAGGATTTTTGAAGAAAATACCTGTTTTTATTTTTTTATTTCTATGTAAATATGAAGTTATTAAGGGTTTTAATGGTTTTTTTTCGCCTAAAAGATAATAAATATTATTTTTGTTTTGATAAGAATATTTATTTTTTTTATTTTGATAAGAATATTTATTTTTGTTTTTTTGATAAGATTGTTTATTAAATTTTTTATTTTTTTTAAAATTTTTTTGATTTTTTTGCATATTTAAATTTATTTAATAATATGAATAATATCACCTTTTTGTAATATAAAATTAGGTTTATTGATAACTTTATTATTAATTTTAATTTTATTATGATTAATTAATTGTTTTGCTTGAAAAATAGTTTTTACTAATTTTAATCTTACAAGATTAATATCTAAACGACTTTCTAATAAAATTATAAATTTTTTAAATATATTTATTTTATTATTTTTTTTTGATAATTTTTGAAATATATTTTTTAATTGATATTCATGTATACAACCATAAAAATTACGAAATTGTTGTTTTTCAAATAATCTTTTTTGAAAAAATTTTTTTCTTTTTTCAGGTTTTATTTCTTTTCGATATCTTAATTTTTTTTTAAATAAATTCCATTTTTTAGATTTTAATTTTAATAAGTTTAAATTTTTATGTATGTTTCTATTATTTTGAAAACATATTTTATTTCTTGGTTTTAATTTATTCATATTATTTATTAAAATATTTTACGTAATAAATACATTAATGTATATGTTGATTGAATATTTCTAGAATTTGTTATTATAGGATAATTTATATTTGTTATTGTTTGACTTGTATTTACTAATGAAATAATTGGTATTTTTAAAATCGAAAGTTCTTGATTTAAAAAAGTATCTTTAATTGAACTTTTAATAATTAATATCAATTTTATTTCATTTTCTTTAAGTAAATAATTAATTACTTTATTAAACGTTGTATCCATAATTTTATTAGTAATTAAACCATTTATCCATTCTTTATTAAAAAAAATAATATTTGGATTTTTTTTAACAAAAGCTGTAGTTAATAAAAATTGAACTTCATTAGCATTTCCTATTATTAAAATTTTTTCTTTTTTTTGTAATATATATTTAATTAATTTAAAAATACGTTTTAAAAAAAAAGAAACATCTTTTAAATTAATTATACTATAATTATAACGACTTCCATAAATAAAAGGTAGTATTTCTTTATTTGTATAAGTTAAAGACTCACCATACATATTTTTTGATTTAAATAATAAATTTAATAAAATATTATTATTATTTTTTTTTTTTTTATTTATCATAATTAATTATTTTTTACTTTTTTTTCCTTCTTTTTGTAAAATTTTTTCATTTTTTAATAATAACCCTTTCCCTTTATAAGGTTCAGGTTTTTTATGATGTTTAATATAATGTACAAATTGATTTAAAGAGATATAATCTATACTACTAAAAATTAAAGTATTTGTTTGATTAATAATTTCAATATTTGATGGAATTTTTATAATAATATTATGACTAAATCCTAATTTTAAAATTAAATTACTATTTTCTATAAAAGCTTTAAAACCTATACCTTTTAAAAGTAAACTAATTTTAAAACCTTGTAAAACACCTTTCATTTTTATTTTAATTAATTTATTATATAAATTTAAAATACTTTTTTTATTCTTGTTTATATTAACATTTATTAATAATTTATTTTTTTTTATAAAAAAATAAATATTATCAGTAAAAATTAAAGATAAAACTCCTAAAGATGTTTTAAAAAAGATTATTTTTTTTTGATTTAAAATTTGTATTTCTGTTGGAATAATAAAAATTTTATCTATAAAAAAAAGTTTAATATTTCCTAAAGAACTTTTAAAAAATTTTTTATTTTTTTTTATTTTCGTTTTTTTTAATATTTTAATCATAATTGTTATTATTAAAAAATTTTACAAATTAATTCACCACCAACATTTAATTTTTTAGCTTGTAAATCTGTTAAAATCCCTATTGATGTTGAAATAATATAAAATCCTGTTTTTTTTTTATATAAATCTTTATTAGTTATATATAAACGTTTCCCAGGTTTTGATAAACGTTTTATTTCAGTAATAACTGCTTTATTTTTTTTATATTTTAAATAAATATCTAATTGATTTTTTGAATTTATTTTATAACTTTTTATAAAACCTTCTTTAACTAAAAGGTTTAAAACATTTACACTTTGTTTTGAGTTTTGTTGTACTATTTTTGATTTTTTTACTAAGTAACCGTTTTTTATTTTTGAAAATAAATTTGAAAGAGTATCTGTTATAATCATAATAAAATTTACCAACTATATTTTGAAACACCAGGTAAAAAACCTTGTGAGGCTAACCTACGTAATTGAATTCTAGAAATTTTAAATAAACGATAAATACTTTTAGAACGTCCAGTTAAAACACATAAATTTTTAATTCGAGTGATTGAGGAATTTTGATGGAAAAAAAACCATTTTTGTTGTAATTTCCATCTTATATTTTTTTCAATATTTAAATTTTTTGAAAGAATTTTTAATGTTAATCTATTTTTTTCAAAAAATTTAAATAAATAACGTTGTTTAATATTTTTTTTTATTTTTTTTTGCATAAAATTATATATTATAAAAATAAATGTGGAGATAATCGGATTCGAACCGATAACCTTATATTTGCAAAACATACTTTCTACCAGTTGAAATATATCCCCAATAAGTGTATTGGGACTTGAACCCAAGACCATCGGATTAAAAGTCCGGTGCTCTACCAACTGAGCTATACACTTATTTAAAAAATTAATTAAAATTTTAATTAATTATTATAAATATTTTTTTAAAAAATAAGAATTTTTGATTTAAAAAAATATTAATTTTTTGTTTTAATAAAATATTAAAAATTGGAGTTTCTTGTATTTTAATTTTTTGATTTTTTTTATAAATTGATAATTTTTTGATTATAAATAATTCAAAATTAGAACAGAAATTTTTATAAGAATTATTAAAAAAAAAAATAATATTATTTTTTTCAAAATTAATTTGATTTTTTTTTTTATTATCAAAAATTATTTTTTTTTTTATAAATTTTAAATTATAAAAAATTTTAGGTAAAAAAAAATAAGTAATAAAAAAATAAAAATTAAAAAAAAATAATAAAAACCATGAAACTTGATTAAAAAATGAAAATTGATCGAATTGTGGCATAAATTTATTTTAAAATTTTATTTCTTCAACATATATTTTTCGTGAAAGAATACTTTTATTTTTATATTAAATTATTATTTCGTATTTTTTGATTTTGAATAATAATTTGAATATATGAAAGTCTAGAAAATTCTTTTTTTGATTTTCTAAAAATATTTAAATTATTAATATTATTTATTTTAAAATTTAAATACTTTAATTTATAACAATTAATTAATCTTGTAGCATTAATTTTTTTTTTATAAAATCCATTTTTATTATACTTATTAAAATAAAATTTTTTTTTATAATTTAAAATATTATTTAAATTAGCAGGTTTCATAGAAAAAATGAAACCTAAAATTGAAATAAAAATTTTTTTATTATTCCAATTTCCACCTAATAAACGACCTTTTATTAAATTATTTTTTTTTTTTAAAATATTTTGAAACATTAATTTATTAAATTGATGTAATATATTATAAGTTAAATCATAATTAAATAATATAATATTTTCATATTTTATAGCAATTGTTGAAATTTTATCTATTTTTATTAAAGTAAATGGTAAATAAATATTTTCATAATTATTAAACTCAATTACATGTGATTCTAAATTTAAATTATTATATAAAATTTGATTTTCAAATAAAATATTTTTTAATTTAAATTTTTTGTTTTTTAAATAATTATTTTTTAAAAATTGTTGATAATTTAGTAAATTATTATTATTTTTATTTTTTAATTTCTGCATTTAAAATAAATTTTTTTAATTAGGCCTAGTAGGATTTGAACCTACAACTATACCGTTATGAGCGGTATGCTCTAACCAATTAAACTATAAGCCTTATTATTTATAAATAAATTTTGTTTTAACAGGTAATTTATTTGAACCTGCTTTTAAAACTTTTTTTGCATTTTCTAATGAAATACCGCTAATTTCATATAAAATTTGACCTTTTTTAACTTTCGCTACCCAAAAAGAAACAGCACCTTTACCTTTACCCATACGATTTTCAGTAGGTTTTGCAGTTACAGGAATATCTGGAAAAATTCTGATCCATAAAAATCCCAATCTTTTCATTTTTCTAATGATTATTCTACGAGTGGCTTCTATTTGTCTTGAAGTTAAACGTGTTTCTTCTAAAACTTTAATTGCATATTTACCATAAATAATATTATTACCTTTAGTTGTTTTACCTGTAAGTTTTCCTTTAAATTGTTTTTTATATTTAGTTTTTTTTGGAAATAACATAATTAAATTTTTTTTTTAAATATTTCGGATTTAATGATATTTTTAATGGTTTAAAAAAAACCCATAATTTAATACTACAAATACCTGATGGAGTTTTAAATTCATTAAAATGGTATTTAATATCATATTCTAAAGTATTTAAAGGTATTTTACCTTTTTGAAAAATCATTTTTTTTTTACGTTTAGACTTATTTAAACGACCTTTAAATTGTAAACAATATCCCATAAAATTAGAAAATATTTTAAAAAATTCTTGAAGCATATTGTCAATATTATTAATAAATTTTTTATGGGTTTTTTTTCTTTCTAATGTTTGTTTAATATAAAAAGTTAAAATATTAATATTTTTAGTATAAAAAGCATAACTAAAATTATAAATCATTTTTTTAACATTTTTATTAATTCTATTATTTTTTTTTATTTTATCAAAAATTTTTTTTAAATTTTTTCGTAATTTAATAAATTCAAAAAATTGAACATTTTTAATAAATAATTTAATATTATTATTGGGATAATATAAATTTAAATGATTTATAATTTTATTATAAGATAATTTATAATATTTTTTTGCATTTTTTTGAATATAAATATAAATATTTATATTATTTGATGTTTTTATTATATTTATATCGATTAATTTTAAATTTTTATAATTAAAAATATTTTGAAAATATTTTTTAATTTCTAAATCAAAATGTAATAAATTTGAATATTCACTATTATTAACAATCCATTTTGAATTCCAATTTTTTTTTTTATTTAATCTTAAACTAATTGGTATAATTTTTTGACCCATAATTTATTTTTTCTTTTTATATATATGTTTTTTTCGTGTATTAATAAATTCACCAAATTTAAAACCAATCATTTTATCATTAATTTCTAAATTAATAAAGATTTTACCATTATAAATACTTACGGAATGGTTACTATATTCTGGTAATATTGTTAAATTTTTATTAGTTATTTTTATCCATTTTTTTTTTTTTAATAAATTAACTTTAAAAAATGGACCTTTATATTTACTTCTAGACATAACTTATTGAATAATTAATTTTTTTTTATTTTTTTTTCTTGTAGGTTTTCCTTTAGTTATTTTACCTTGAGGTGTTACAGAAGGTCTTCCACCACTTGTTTTACCTTCACCACCACCATGTGGATGGTCCACTGGGNACGGAATGGTTACTATATTCTGGTAATATTGTTAAATTTTTATTAGTTATTTTTATCCATTTTTTTTTTTTTAATAAATTAACTTTAAAAAATGGACCTTTATATTTACTTCTAGACATAACTTATTTAATAATTAATTTTTTTTTATTTTTTTTTCTTGTAGGTTTTCCTTTAGTTATTTTACCTTGAGGTGTTACAGAAGGTCTTCCACCACTTGTTTTACCTTCACCACCACCATGTGGATGGTCC